TTTTCTCCAAAGTGCCAGACTTATTTTGAAAACATTTTAAAATGCTTATTTCAGAACCGCAACTGAGACCAACTGCGACCACGCGCGCATGGGGGGTGGGGGGGTATACGGTGCGCAACGGTGTGTCTTCTGAACAAATTAAAATGATTTAACACCGTTGTTTATGCTTTTAGCAGCTCTTTTTATTCCACAGCTGYCCTGCTAAAAATGACAGATTTTCTTTTCTGGATCTCTGACAGACGGACTTCAATCTCTGAACTCGTAAAGTTCTTCTTTTTAGTTTTCGCTGTCATTTTCATGGATGGACCCTTCCTTGTAGCTGAAGCAGGAAACATAGCCTTATATGGTGTTTTTGGGGTGGTAATTATGCTAATCTCCTCTCGCGTGCACGTGCAGCTGGATATGATCAGGTGTAATTTACGCAACTCATTTACACCCTTTTCCTGAAGATAGAAGAGTTTGTTGAATCTGACGTGACATGTTCGTACGAACCCTTCATACGAACAAAAGTAAGAGAAATTTAGGATAAGAATACGAACATGTTCTTGCATGAGGCCCAATGTTACAAGTTGTTGATGTTTTCACATACTCATCAGAATTCTAATAATATTGGAGGTAGAATAAAAAAAATTGCCAAACAATATGTAGAAATGTTAGACCTGGGATGGGCAACAATATAAATATACGTTTTTAAATTAAAAAATGCACTCAAATCAGCTTTTAGATAATTTTTGTGAATTACAAAAATGTATGGGTGTCTGAGATGCATTGAATTGATTGAATTAACAAAGTTTGCCACTAGATGGCGCCTCCAACGCAGACGCCACCTCAACACACGTTTCCTCTACCAGCGAGGAAGAGATGTTTAGAATTTTTAAAAAAAATACTGGACAGAGAAAATTGCATGTTTCAGGTAAAACATGGTTGCACAAAGCTGAGAAGTTTACTCAAGTCAAAAAATCCATAAACAACAAGGTTTTTTTTTTTATTACCAGAATCACACAGGAGTCTGAACTCAAAGCGTCTTATGTTGCTGCACTTCGGCTTGTATGTGTTTAGTTTTTGTTTGCTTCAAATGTTTTGTATTCATATTTATTAATAAAAGAACTGTTATAAACGCATTTGAGCATGAAATATGTTAAGTTACTGCACTGTATGTTAGTTTAATAAATGTATATACACAAACATTTAAAAAGGCAGTTTTATTTTTGTGTGAGTGTACAGCACTATGTGACCTTCTGCTTCAACAAAAAATTGATAACATGGACTCACCGTTTCCTTCCTGAGCCTCTGACATCAGTTTGTTGTGTTTCTCAAAGGCTGAGAGCATGGCTTTCCTCCTGACGCTCACCTGAGAGGAAACATCAGTTTAATACTACGTGAAAGTTGTCCTGCTGGGATCTGTTTATTCCTGACAGATTTACATCACACGTTGGGTCAGTCATGGCTCTGCACCAGGTCATGGCCTCCTGGGTGCAGGGCCGCATTGTCTCCGTCCTGCCGTGGTAAAACCTGCGTGTTGTCGCCGTCTCGTAGCAACTTCCTGGTCTGAGAAAAGCATGAGAGTAAAATTAGAGCCAAAAAGCTTGAAACAGAATTAATTAACAAGTAGCTTCTAGTAAACTGTACTTCTTGTGCTTTTTGTAGTATGCCAGCTGCATAGCTAGCTGAACAAAGGTGTCTGGGTGCAGCTTCTTCTCTTTGATGGCTTTTTTTCCAAACGCTGTGAAGGCGTAACACACAATCTGAAGGTCCTGCGTCTGCAACACCAGAGATAAGGTCACACAGCTGAAACTGTGGACATGTAAATATTAACACGAGTATTTTTCAAAGCTCACAGACTCCAGGTACTGCTGTTTGGCATGATTTATATCACTGACAACTTTTTCATCCACAGTGAACAGCAGCTCCTCGGGAAGGGGAAGCTGCCTGACTTCGTCTGAGCCCTAAAAGTATCAACATCAACGTGTGAGCTGACACATCTGGTTTTTATTTAAGTAAAGAATAAATAAGTCAGTGTTTACCTTCCACTGTCCTTCTGCAGCTCTGATTTGTTCATCCAGATACCAGCACATGGACACCAGTACCATAGCATCATATGGTGCATGCTGCAAAACAATTTTCTTTACTGTAATCACAATGGTACTAACCAGGATATATTCAGACTATGCATCTTAAATCTTAATGAAACAATCTCTAAGCTCTTTTAAAATTAGAAAAACATATCTCACATCACAGGTGGACCCAAATGTGCCGTCTTCAAACACAATTGAATTGTACGACTTGTCGCCCCAGCGGATGGTGGGGTCACCTGTAAGGGCTGCTGCAGTTAACTGCAATCACAGATTAAAGATGTTACAAAAAGGAGACTTTGTTGTATTTGTTTATGTTTTTTTGTTATGTTATGGTCTTACGTTTGTGTAGTTCTCTGGGGTAGAGTAGGGTTTTGTCTCATCCAGGGACAAAACAAACAGGCTACTCTCAATGGTCTCCAGGATTGTTTTATTGTGCAGATCGATGCTTATTAGATGCTCTCTTGCCTACCGGGAAGTACACAGAGAAATACTGATCCAAGGGATCTTTTCTGTAACATGAGACCCTATGTGCATGAGCTGCAATCTGTATTTTCTTTTTATTTTGGTCAGAATAACAAATGTAAATGCTACTACCTTGGCCCAACGAGACCTCTCCTCTGATGTGAGAGCAGACACTCCGTCTCCTTCTCTTTCTCTCTCACAGCATTGTTTCACATAGCTCAGCTGCCTGCAGGTTACACACACACACACACACACACACACACACACACAC